TCTACTTCTTGACAGAATGATCTTCGACTCTGGTCTTTTCTCACGCCAAGCACCTTCTAGAGCACACGACACAATTTTTTTCTTCAATCTTCTACTACAAGATCTGGCTCATTTCGTCGGGGTGATCGTCGTTACAATTTTGACAGATTTTTCTTGTGGGGCTAGTGTTCTGTCCAAGCTTGTTGCACTTACAACTGTAGTCCTGCTATAATTGGGAGCTGTTGCTATCATCTCTGGATCGGTGCACATGCACTACTTCCTTGTTAGATCGCAGATCGCCATTATTTGCATCCATTCCATCACAGGACCACGCACGACCAAGCAGTACAGGAAGAAAAGAACATCTTACCGTGAAAGCGAGCGGTCGTGCGAGAGAACTAAAAAACGTGGGCGGCTGCGGCCAAGGGCAAGGCCATTGTGCAAGCATATTAGCCCCGTTCCTGCCCTGTTCCGTCGATTTTCATCTTCTAGTAGGCTATACTAGCGATAAAACGTTTTTGCATCTTTCGGGCTGTGGCTCGACGTGGTAGTTCTCATTCGCGCAACATCTGTACTACATACAACACCAGCAGAAAAACACCATGCCTGGAAAATTTGCTTCTGATCGCCGTTATCCGTACCAACATCATCGTCATCGATCAGAGGATCGGGTGTATATTGGAGCAGAATGATGTTGTTGTTGATAGGCGTTTAGTACAACGCAGCAGGCGCTTCAGAAGTTGTACTCTATTTGGGAAAAGTAATATTCTATCGTTGTACGGTGCGCGGTTATATTCTTTGTCCAGATGAAAATTCTTAACCCGTTGTAAAGTAAAGTAAAAACGCTCTCTTCCTCTTCCGTGGGTACTAGGGCTACTAATATGTCCTCGTGAAGAGCAGTGGCTGATGAAGAAGCCGTATCAACTGTAAAAATATCTGGGTCAGGAAAATTCTGACACTTGTCATGCACGTTTTGCATGAGCCATGATGTCTGTGATGCATGCCCTAGCATCACAGATTTTTTGAGGGCTTCGCGATGCCTATTCCGCATTAGAAGTACCTTCTCAGCGTAGCAAAAATTGCATTCCCTTTGCTATTCATGCAATACAGATTTTTTTGGAGTCCAAACGCAGCATCACAAGTTGCATTCTTCCAGACCCAGACACTTTTACATTTGATAAGCCGAAAGAAAGCTGCTGGCAACATGATTTATGCTTGCAGTGTTCTTGTACGTAGTACTATTATAGGCAGCAGGGCAAATTAGTACTGAATGAGGATTTTTACCACGTTTAAAATTTTTCTCGGGGTGGAAAACGACGTTAAAGGGCATGAAATTGGTTCCATCGGGTTCGTCAGTGGGGAGAAGTCTTGTAAGTGTTAACTTTTCAAATTCACATTGGGCAAGTTGAGAGATCTTTTTGCAGCTGTGTAAAAGTAAATTTGAATGCTTGTCGTGTGAAATTATTACGCAATAAAATTGTATGTGAATACGAAAAGGAGTAGAGCCTTAGCCTTACAACAACCTTCTAATAAAAGATAAATTTACGAGCGATTCTTAGTGGACGAGGGGCAACATCAAGGTCGAAGTCAGGCGTGTCGGGTTGCGGCCATAGAGACAGATAGACACGGTGGTCCTCGATGTGGATTGTGGAAACACTTTCACTTCTACTGTTGACGACTACTACCTAATATCATCCGCCCCGTCTTGTGATGTAGCAGAGGTTAAAGCACCTCAACTCTTGCAGATGAATCTTTGCTCGCGACAAAACGACCCTAACTCGTTGACTAGCGTCTTGGAGTTTGTTGCGCGACGTTTTGTTCTTTCGAGATAAAAATTATTGGGACGTATCAAATGTTAGAACAAACAATCATGAGAACAAGAATCTGGCACAAAATTTACTGGTGTACAGATGAAATAAACGCATATTTTGAATTTAAATTTGCAGTTGTAAGAAGTCAAACCGTAGAATGGAAAAACAAAAAGTAGTACAGTCTGGACGATAATGCGTTGAAAAGATAAGTTTTTCATGTTTTCCTAGATGAAAGATTTTTTCACAGTTCTGAACCCCTTTCGTTCCGCCGTTCGGTTGTGTTAAACGGCGTCACGACTCAGACGACACTTGTTGTAGTACAACTAGTCGCTGATAAACCGACGTAGTTTCGGTTTAGGAGGACTCGGCCTCCCACGACTGCTATTACAGTGAAAAGTGCCCCTCACCCCTGAAATTGCAAAAGTTTGTGATGCGAAGTTTCCAAATGAAAACTTTTTTTCATGCACGAAAGGAGTATGAATCTTTCTGATGCAGAGTCTAGGCGTGTATCGCATTGCTTGCATGACAGGCGCCGCTCTTGCTGCGGTCTTTTGCAATACAAATTTTCGCTATTCACGATTGGAAACCTGTGATGCTGATAGATGGAAGAGGGCGAATGTTTCATTTGCAAAGGTTTGCAATGCAAATGCTCCCAAATTCGGGGGTGGGGGCATTTTTCATTGTAATAACTGCAGCTCCTTGTTCATCATGTCGACGATGACTTTCATGAACTCAAAGCCCGGGACCAGGCGCGAGTTCATTTCCAGCTTCCCGTCATCATCGGAATCCATCGCCTTCAGCTGCTTGTGCAGGATATGCATTGCAAAAGTATCGTACTCGTATAAATGCATTACAAATTTCCCCAGCATGAGAAATGAAATTTGTAATGCGGATTTGCCTTAAGATAAAGATTTCTTGTAATGCATGATTGCAATACGAGTACGATACTTTATCACAGGATACAGGAATTCCTGCATCTGGGGCTGGAACGTTTCGAACATGATCTTCGCCATGGCCATGTATCCATTGCAAATATGTCTGAGTCTGGACGTGTCATGCTCGGCCAGCATGACTCTCAAGTCTGTCATGCACAGTATCCCAAAGGAGCCCCAACTTTCTGTCATGCAAAGACCAAGTTTGTCATGCTGAATAGAGAACACGCAGCAAGTCAGGAACTTGTCATGCTGAGCCGTCACTTGTGGCCTCCTCATGATTCGCCCCTCAGCATCTCAAGTTTCCAGACCCAGACATATTTGCAATGCATATCATGCCCATGTCTTTCAAACCGGTCATCATGTC